TGTGTGTGTGTGTGTGTGTGTGTGTGTGTGTGTGTGTGTGTGTGTGTTATTTGGAGCTGGGAAGGTTGCAAGGTTAAAGGTCAGATATGAGGGATGGGAAGATGAGTGGCTCTGGGGTGTATGATGTGAAACTCACAAAGAATCAATAAAAAGCGTTTTTTAAAAGGAGAATTCTTAATTCTCTGCATTGGGATGTAAGGGGTGAAAGACAAAATAAATAAAGGGGTGCAAAGTTTCTTTTTTCTATAAGTATATCATAAAGGAAATGTTGTTACTTCTGCTTATGTTCAACTCTTCTATATCTACATAATTAGGAATAAGTAAACTGAACCAAAAGACTTTACTGTAGATACCACAACAAATATCTTCATAAAAGTACAGTATAATCTAGTTTTAGATTTAATTACTTCATTATATATTTTAAACTATAAATATATGTATTTCTTTGAAGACCTAAGTTAGATAAAAAATGTATAAATTGAGAAAAGACTTATCTCTGTGTTCTGTCTTAGTTGATTTTAAGATGTGAATATTTACATTTCTAAAACCAAGAGAGAAATAAACCATCTGTTGTGATCAGTTATGTGACTTATATCCATGCTACTTTTTAATATAAAAACCCTTTTCTCCTTCACAGGTTTTTAAGTATCTTCTCTGGTTATATTATTAGAAAGTATTGACACATGTAATTACAATCAATTGCCAAATTCAACAAGATAATATTTCCCATAATAAGCAAACTATACTTATATTTCCCTACTTTATATTAATGTGTAAAAGAAGAAATTTTATTATTACAAATATTTCTGATAGAGTGTTTCACTATATTTCAAGTGGATAAGGAATAATGGCATTTAAAAAAACTTTGTATTATATTTAGTACATTGAACTCACATTCTTCATTTCCTGTACATTCTAAAGAATAATAGCTTAAAATAATTAGTGACTTAATTGGGACAAGGATTTACCATTTCTGCTCTGCTAGAAGGTCAAAAAGTTTCTTAGAGATTCAAAAACCAAAATATTACTAAAGAAATACTTATCATGTGAATGTTGACAAATGCTTATATAAATGCCTTAAAACTTATAAGCTTTAATAATCCTGAAATATTTAATAGAAATATGAAAAATCTTTTTTCATCTGCATTTTACATGTATGGAGGCAGTCTACATATCTTCCTGCTCCCACAGAGACTAGAAGACAGTGTCATATCTTCCTGGAATTGTAGTTATAGAGAGTTGTGACCTGCTATGTCAATCAATGCTGGGAATTGAGCGCAAGTCCTTTGAAAGAATAGCAAGTGCTGTTAAAGCATTGAGCAATTGTTTCACCTCCAAAACATCTAATATTGATATTATTTTCCTTTACTTAAAAATGTTTTCTGATAATTTCATACGTGTATATAATATGTCCTTATTACTCTCAATCCCTCTCATTTTCTCCTCACCTCAGTTAACAACCCTCCCTTTTCTTTAAGTCATATCTTTTTAAAATTTTACTTATTTATTTTTATTAATTAATTTATTTTTTATTAATTAGGGTTTTTTTCACTTTGTATGCCAGCTGTAGCCCTCTCCTTCATCCCCTCCCAACCCCCCCCTTCCTTCCTCTTCTCCATCCAAGCCCCTCTCCAAGTCCACTGATAAGGGCGGTCCTCTTCCCCTTCCATTTGACCCTACCATATCAGGTCT